AAGAAGCTCGTCTGCCTGACGAAAGGCTCTTAGTTCTTACGGTGGAACTCGAGCTAAATCAAAACCGACAGGCTATTCGCGCTTCAAGCGAGTTTCACTACAGTAGAGCCCATTTATGACCCAAGACCGTACTAGACACTGTAATTAGATGTTCGTTCGGTCACCCTGTAAAGCAAAAACTCAAGAAAGGGATTCTGCCCATATAACGTCACCTCCGCGGGTTACCGGACTTACACGTGTCTGGATGCCAAAGCCTGCCTAACTATTGTAGATATTGAGATTATCTTCCCTATACGGGGGAAGATAATCTCTCAATATCTACAATAGTTAGGCAGGCTTTGGCATCCAGACACAAAGTCGCTTCAGAATGTTTACCTCTTTAAAAACCTTAGAACATTTTGTTAACTTCTAAAAAAATACATGCTTTGGCCCATAATATCCTGTGTCCATGAAAATACTCTTGAATCTTGGTCAATCGAAAGCTTGTACAATCTGCTCAAATCGGGATCAGGCCGAACCGTCGGCGTAATTTCGCCGCTCGCTACGCTATCGATCTGCGCTGCATATGCGCGGAGAGAGTAGAAGGATTGCAGAGAAAGCAAAAAAGCAGGCCGTGGGCGTGAAAACCCTAGCGACGCGGACTTTCGCCATGCCAATTTTGGCCTGGTCGGGACTGCGGCAGACAGTATGACATTATTGAAAGCTTTTGAGGTGATCTTGCGCCTAGGAATCATTGGGCCGCTAGTCTTATATCAAAACCCGCATGATTCCATAAATGGACTTATAAAGAAGGTGTTATCACTGAGGCAAAATAGTGATGGCGAGACAAGTGATTCATTTCCTTGAACGTTGTTTGGAGCACCGGTTGATTCCAGATTTTATACAAAACCAACAACTGCACCAAACTTGGTCTTCCAAAAGACAATCGGCAACTCCAAAAACTCGAATTACAACTTCTGAGGACGGCATTGAAGAACAAAAGTGATTCCATGTGTGCAATAATTAAGAGTGTTTGTCTAAAGAATCAAGTTGTCAGCGATTTTTGCCGAGTCTTTGGAAGGGGATAGAAAGTGAGTCAAAGAGCAGGTGTAAATCTATTCGTTCCAATGTCAGATCAAAGTTATAGGAAAAGTTCAATAAGCTGCTAGAAAAAGAACAATCGCGAAAGCCTAGTATACCGCCGCTTTGAGCCGAATCACAGCCATTTGTGCTAATGAGCTAAAAACATCGCGAACAACTATTATTGGCAATACCACATTGTCAGAAAATGCACGTTCTCTGCTCAGCTTAAGACCCTTTCTCGCCTGCGCAATCTACCCAGCAGTAGTACGAAAAATTGTTGGAAATCTACAATGTGTTTGTTGTTTGTTGTGTTTGCTTGCGATTGTTTGCGCTGTAAGGCCAAAATGGAGAAGCAGACCAATCAAAGATCAGCAACAACTTTCCCGGCGGTACCGTTCCGTTTAGTATTTCAGACCGCAAGAGCTAGTACCTTCAGTAGATTCCGCTGTTAGGGTCTTTGTCACGTCGGCTTTCAGTGTACTTCAAAAACAGATACGTAAACGCCAAACATCCAATTCAACAACAGTGCATAGGAGTCCAAAAGAAATTCGGGATCTTGCAGCCGCAAATGCTATCAAGATAACTGCTAGCCATAAAGGCGGCGAATTCGTCGTTATACCTAAAGAGCTGAAAATTGCGAAAGCTTATATTGCAAAACTTCAGAAAAAGAATTCACCAAAACAGTACCGAAAATTGAATAGACTTTGGGTGAAACAGCGAGGAGTGCGGGTATAGCTAAAAACGTTGTATCGCGACCCAAATGTGATTTAACAATCTGTGCTGTTCTGTACGTTCTCATAAAAACACACGAAATACCTGCAGACTTGCTTACTTCGGAAGATCCAATAAACTTGAGTTCGACCTATTATAAGCACGTCGAAGGCTCCACAGACAGAACTGCGTGGCTACTCAATGTTATTCTTACATGATTGTTGCAATACGTCCCTGCGCACTTGAGTAGTACTAATGCCCTGCTTGAACGCCTGCGGAATACACAATTCAACGATAACGACGTCATCTATCTGACATAGCAGCACTCTACACCAATGTGTCAGTCAAGAAAGCACTCCAATTTGCTGAAGCTAATAGATATGAACCCAGAAAAGTACATCGCGTCATCAGACCGCATAGAAAACCCTAGCGATAAAGTGTCATTCTGTTTCTCTTTCATTTCAGATACACTGAGCAGCGCGTTTAGAAAATGTGTTCGAAGAGATGGGTTGCAAGATTCACTGCGGCTTGTCGAAACACTCCTCCCGAATCTTGAACGGCGCTTGATGCGAAACAGAGCAAATCATAAGGCATGCACAGAAACGGATTGCTTGATATGCGCCACGAATAAGCAAGAGAAAGCGTGTACAGTGAAAGCGTGTGACCATTTTCATTATGCAAAGGCGAATTCAGTAGAAACATTTATTGCAGTTGGAACCAAAAGCATCATGCAGGATATGAAGCGGAAGCGGGGACGCGAAGTTGGATCGTGGACCTTGGCAGCAGCGGATAGGTGGCCATGTCGGGACGAGGAGCTGGTCGTTGGGACGTCCACCGTGCAATGACTTGGAGTTCTCGCGACTTGTTATATATCCTTGCGCTAACAGGGCCCGACATCGCCGAGGGCATGGGAATGTTGCTCTCATAACATGAACGATGGCATCCTGTAACATTTCAACACTCTGAGAATGCAATGACTTTCTACTGCAAGGAACGCTGCTCTTACACCTCTCCCATTTCCTTCAAGTCCGTCCCGACTTCAAAGAAATGGGTAGAGCAGCAGGATAAGAAAGGGAAAGTAACCATCTTGTAGATAGAGGGGAATTATTTCAACCTCTTTCCGCCATGGTTTTATAGATATCGAGCACTATTGAGGTTCACCATGGTGAGATTGTAAATGGACTGTGAACGAGCGAGATAGCGTACCATAACTAAATTCTTGTAATCGTATATATCAGAAGCGTGTCCATGAATTGTAGTGTTCATAGATGCGGTGACAATCACGGGACAAGTTGCCGCTAAGGTTGCAGCTATCAAAACAGCCACTGTCGGCAAACCGATGTCAAAAGCAGCTTGCATTACTGCCAGTGGGAGCAGCTCAATGTGAATGCTTTTGCAAGATGCTAGTCGTATTTTAGCTGAAGTCGGGGGCTTTAAGTGTGAAAGGTTTTTCAGCGGGGTTGAAGAAAACCGGATTGGTGGCGCTGCCACAAGTTAGCGCACAAACACCATAAGCGGCGTCCACCACAATATGCTGAAGGGATAAGCTATTTGTGACGCTGATTCGTGAGGTGATATCGTGAGATTTGACGTTGCAAACGGCATCTAAAGGCGCACACAAATGTCGATTACCAATTTTTTCTTCGTGGAACTAAGCATGGCGGTAGACGTCGCGAGGGATGGGTCTATGAGACCAGGGAGATGCAGCGATCGCGTTGATAAGCTACTTCTCTTGCGAGTGTGACACGACTGTCGGACCTGTGCGTGGTAGACGCGACGAGAGTCTGCTAGGAGGACCATCTGGCGTTTGAAAGCACATCCGACTTCTGTGGCCATGTCGACGAGAATTGAAGAAGCATCGGGTAAGCTTATTTATTCGGGACCGTAGCAGTGATGCGATGCGACTGGCGATCGTCCACAGTACTGCTAAAGCGCCAAGAGCGGAGCATGAGGCGTTACACAGTTTCCCCATCTTAGTTTCATGGCGGTGGTGTTGTCATGGATGAAGTCTCGTATCTTAAAGCTACGCAAGCTCTTGAGCGTCTAGGTTGAACACTTTGAGGGGAAGAACCTCATTCGCTGCATCGGGAAGAAGCGTTGTGCCTGTTGGCAAAAAAATTCTCGGGCTGATACTCTAGCTCGGACACAGGGGTCTCCAAGAAGCGCATAGCACAGGAAATCTTGCGCACCGCACTTTGCGGTGACAATGTTGTAAGTACGAATGTGCTGAATGACAAAAGCGCACATTGCTGGTGTCAACACTAGCACTTCAGGGGCTCCTTCGAAAGAGGCGTTGAATGACTTGTTCTGGTTATAGCGAAATTCGGTGGACAAGACAGATCCGTAGCTCGGCTCTTGCACACGGCGAGGAGTGACAAAAAGAAAATATGAGTCGCGAAAAAAGTAAGCCGTTGTAGTCTCCAGCCTGGAGTGTGCGTAATTCTGGATCGTTTGAGAATCAGTTTGGGGTTGCGGAGGGCTTGCGTGGTGGGTTTTACCTCATAGATCCATACAAAATCCTTCACTAATACCATCTGCTTGTCAAATCCTCGATGCCCGCACTTGTATCAATTCCGTACCGATCGAGTGGAACGCGATGGTAATCCCTGCGTTTTGGTCCGACTAGGGAGAAATCTTTGGCTTTTAGAACAACGCCAGTATCCCAAGCCGTTGAAACAACCTGGTATAGTACAGGGCGGCGATTGCGCCAATGTAGGGGGGCCAATGCACTCGGTTGCATGCCTGACGGCTCATGCTCGATGTCGTCGTTGCTTATGCCTGCTATTTGCCAGCTAGTACGCTTTGTATGACTTTCCGAGAGTGCTGTCGAAAAGCGATTGTGTCCTCCAAGTGCTGAGGTTCGATGAATGGGATGCTATCGAGAGGTCGACCGGGTTGGAGCGATACCCTGAAACAACGACGAAACAGCACCTCTGAATTTCTGTGAGAGGTCGTTTGGTAGCATCCGGTATTGCTCTGGATCTAGCATCGATTCCGCTTAGAAGTTCCTTTCGCGAAGCACGCGGGTGGGTCGAGGGGAGACGTATGTTGCCCAGGGATGTTGCCCACACAGGTAGTGGGTAGAAATTGTCAGGAGTGACGAGCAGGAGTTGTCCCAATCCTGTTGACATGATAAGGACGTGCCGCCTTGACTGATTTTGAACCTGATCGTTCAGCTTCGAGAGGCTTCGATTCTGGCGGAGGAGTGCATCATGAAGCTGAGGCGGTCACGGCTGAACTGGGTAGATCTGAGCCCGGCGTGCCTGAACGGGGAAGGCCCATTGACGATAGCAGTGATGCGACGTCCGCATCCTTGGCAGAACGGATGCTGTGGGATCCATCTGAGTCGAGTGCTTCTTCGGGTAAGTCAGTTTCGGCTGGCGGGGTCGGGGAACTGGTGCGGACTTGAATGTATCCATCTCTTCATCGAGGGGATTGGACACCGAATCATAACGTGACCCATCCATTCGTGAGTGAGACAGGGATCGGATATTAGCCTCAGCCGGGTCTCGGTGAGGTGGAGCGTGCGAGACGGATGCGCCTGCGAAGTGCAAGATTGAAGTCGACCATGTGGTGACTAGGAAAAGAGGAGGCAACCTACCGGCGGGCTACGGACGCAATGTTTTTGAGTTCTTGCAGATTTCTATCTGTTAGTGAATTTTCTGCACGTGCAGCTGCAGAAAAGTGAGGTTTAACTCGGCCGCGTCGCGACCAAAAAATTACTTACCAAAGGTGTTCGCAACAGCTACACGCGTGACATCAGCATTCGAAGACGCTACGGATAACCGGTGCTAGTATGGGCCTTAGTGGGTGACTCAGCCATTGATCTCAGTGGGAGGCGGTCGCCACAATCTGAAAGCGAAAGGAATTCAGGATGGCAGAACCAAGGAGATATCGCACAAGCACGGTTATGTAAGGCAGAGATCAATGTTGATGTCAGGAACGTCTCACAGTTTATGTGAAGATCAAAGTTTGGTGGTGTAGATGAGCTGTAAGGCAAACGACTAGATAACGTGAAAGTGATAAATCGAAAAGTGTCCCTGGAGCGATGCAGATGCGATAGTGTGGAAGTTGGCGCACTAGTGTTGTCAAAAGTAATTTTAAAATGTGAGAAGAGGTATTGCTACTTAATGGCATGATTCGATACAAGAAGGAGGATGAAAAAAGAGTCGTTACCATATTCGGTGTGTGCATCACAGAGACGAGCTGCGTGACCTGAAACAAGTATTGTAATTATGCGTAATGGGTGATGGGGTTGTTTCAAGTTTTGGTGCATCATGCTCACGACCGGTATGTGGACGTCTGTCGCTTCCATCGCTGTTAGTTGTTCTTGTTCTTGCTCGGGAAGCCATGGCGAAGTTAACACCGGAGCTGATAATGTGAAACACTTTTTGACTTGATTCATGTGAACTTTCTTTGGAGAAGATTGTGATGCTGAGATACTAGAAATGGTTAAGTGCGGCGGATCTACTTCGATTACTCGAAATTGTCCTAGCCAAGGATCGCAGAGTTTTTGAGACAGTCCAATTTTGGGGGTAAAGTCCCGAAGGAACACTCTATCACCTACTTGAATTTTGAGAGTATTGAGGTGGGATTTGTCACACTGGATCTTATAAGCTCATTTGACGCATTGCATAAAGCGGCTGACCGCCACTCCGAACGCAGAGTAGCTACTAAATTTTCGATGTACATATTCGCATCTTCGTCTATAGCCCAATGGCGTTGGAGGTCGTGTTTGACTAGGAGGTCAATATTGAACGCTAGATTTCTACCGAACTTCAGAAAGAAAGGCGTGGTGCTGGAATGAACCGTGCTATTATACATGAAAGCGCACGCTGGAACAGACTTATTTCAATCATCCTGATTTTCACTAATATGTGCGGAGCATGGGATGAAAAGTAGCAAAAACTTGTTTGCATGCTCCATTACCCTCGTGATGGTATGGGGTCGTGAAGTAGCGATAAATGCGGTTTTGCAAGCCACAAAGTTTCAACTTCTGGAAGAAGTACGGTAGTTGCGGCAACCTTACAGAGAAAGTCGCCTCAAGTGAAGGCGTTGTGAGGACTGCGGACGTTATGGGTGAAATGCAGAGAATGTTTACCTTTTAATCAGCTACTTTGAGTGTTTTGCTGGCGTAGTCATGTTCCACTGTGCTAGGCGCGAAAGGAGGTCATTGCCCATAGTAATGTTGTAAGAGTCAACTCAACTGCTTGTGGAACGCATCGCGATTCAGTGAAGTATACTGGATAAACAAAAGCGAAAGAGCCTATCTGAAAGCGAAGTTGTGCCCGGCTTGACAAATTGATTGGTATTTCAGAACTAGACAATAAGGAGATTGATAATGGTAAGATGAAAATCGCGCGCCTTGATACTGACGCTCAGATGGCATTGGCGTAATACATGTCCTTTTTCACCGCCATTATAGCATGTAACCTGGATAAGAGCGCCACTCCGCCAATCGCGGGTGTTTGCTCGGGGTACTTCTTCGCTGATCTCGGTCTCTTGAACGAGGACTTACAGACTTACGTCGACTAATGAATTGAAAACGAGGCTGGTTACCGTTGGGTCGTATCGACTTTGATTTTACCTCGATCGAAGGTGAGGAAGCCAGAAAATTACCAGCCGTTGATTCCACTAATTGCTCTACCGTCTGTGCGATGCCGAAGGCATGTTGCAGCGAAAATGGGTTTGTCAACCCGACTTGAAACCAGACAAAGATTCGGTTTAAATATGTCTGCGAAACCTGCTGCAGGTTCACTTTCCTCTTGCTTGCATTTCGCTAGAGCCCTTCGCGCCATATTAGCGAGGTGTGGTCCCTCGTAATAGTTCTTGAGGTGGGCTATCACCGTGTCGTAGTTCTCACGCTGCGCCGCCGTGAGTTCGTCAATCTTCTCCCTTGCCGCACCATGGAGAGAGGCAATTAGGTAAGAAGCCTTGAGGTACGGTGGCAATGGGGTTGGGCGGGTATTCTAAATGTCCTCGAAACGACGGAGCCAAACTGAAAAAGGAGTAAGGTCCCCACCGTTTGCACCAGTAAAATAGGTGATCTTTGCTGTAGGCCATTCAGGAGTACATGGAGATACTGTAAAATCCCGTCAATCCTCTGCCCTACTGCGCTGAACGAATCGTTGAGATCTTGCAATAGCGAAGAATTTACGTCATTGACCTGCTTAGCCAAAGCCGATGTTGCCGAACGAGAGTCCTTCCATGCGTCCGATATGGCTTATGCCGTAACATTTCGTAGCTCCTTGGCTTGTGACCCTTTGACGACGGAGTCATCTGAAAGATTGACTAGCGAATTAGCAACTTTCATTGCGTACTCTAGCTATGAGGTTGAATTCGGGGCAACCGCCCCAGAGTCAGAAGAGTGCGTACGAGAGTGAGTTACAGGACCCAAACGGATGTAGAGAAGGATAAGTGACTGGCAAAAAACGAGTGTATAGTCTAAGGTTCCTCCCTTATATACATGAAAAAATCATGTGCAAAACAACATACATTCATTAACGGAAGACCAAAAGCTGGCTTATACTAAGATAATGGATGACGTCACGAGAAACGAAAGCGGATTAATTTTCTTCGATGCACCAGGGGGTACGTGAAAAGCTTTTTCGATCAATTTGATACTCGCGGAGATCTGAAGGCAAGGGGGATTGCTGTCGCCGTAGCGTCTTCTGAAATTGCATCAACGTTGTTATATGGCGGTCGAACAGCCCATTCTGCCTTGAAAGTTCCTTTGGATTTGGCGCTGTCGGATAACCCATCTGCAACATAAGCAAAGGATCTGGCAAAGCGCAGGTACTCCAAACATGCAGGCTTATTGTTTGGGATAAATGCACAATGTCTCACAAAAAAAAACGCTTGAAGCGGTGAAGCGTACATTACAAGATTTAAGAAGAAGTAATTGGCTTAAGGAACGTATGATCGTTCTTTTAGCTGGGGATTTCCGTCAAACGCTGCCTGTCATTTCAAAAGCAACGGCAGCAGACGAGTTAGATGCATGTTTGAAATCCTCTGTCCTTTGGAGGCATGTACAGACGCTTAGACTGACAACGAACTTGCGAGTACACTTGGGGTGATGTCAGTGCAGAAATTTTCGCCCAGCAGCTTCTGCATCTAGGAGATGGAAAGCTTCCAACAGGTTTTCAAAGCTTGAACAGCTTTCCTTCAGGTTTCTGCAACATAGGAGATTCATTTGATGAACTTATAGCATATCTCGAAAATTCAGAGCACTTTTGCGGATCAGACATGGGTTTGTGAGTGAGCCATCTTACACCTAAGAATGACTGTGTGGATTCTGTTAATCTCCGCATACAGGACCGTCTTCCTGGCTCAGCTTCCTCCTGCGTGTCCTTTGACGGTGCATACTTGATCATGATCAAGCTGTCAACTATCCAGTGGTATTTATCAGTTCCTCGAGCCACCTGCTTTTCCCTCACACGATTTGGTGTTGAAGATTGGGTCGCCAGTGATACTTAGGCGCAACATCTCACCTCCAAGGTTGTGCAACGGCACGAGACTTTGCTTCAAAAGTTTAATGCCTAACGTGATAAGGCCACCATCTTAACGGGTACGTCAAAGGGAGAAGATGTTTTTATACCTCGCATACCCTCAATTTTTAACAATTTCCCAGAATTTAAACGGCTGCAATTCCTAGTAAAACTCGTTCTTTCATTGATCATAAATAAGGCACGAGGGCAGTCGTTGAGAGCAGCTGGCATAAATCTAAACAGCAATGCTTTTCTCATGATCAGCTTCATGTTATTTGCTGAAGAGTGGAAACTCCAAAGAACATGTATGTATATGCTCCAGAAGGTAGAACCAAGAACATCGTTTACCCGGGCGCTCTAATTTGAATGTTTTGTAAGTCATTATGAAGGTAAGCAAAGCTCTGCGCCTTCTGCTTCAAAGACCACTGTCATGATTTTAAGAAGTTTTGCAAGAATCTTTGAAGACAGTAAAGAACACAAAATTTATATGATTCATTTTTACTGTTCCACATGACTCATTTTCCGCAAATCGATTGCAGATATCCAGAATTCTTGACTTAGATAAACTCAAACTTCTGCAACTTGCATGGTCTTCACGTCCTGATATAAAGTCATGCATCAAGGAGCTCATTAATAGCAATATAAAGATAGAATGATTTTCAGCGGGTAAGACCGGCTAAGCCTTAAGCTAGCCCAGCGAATATGTATAGGTTTCATTTTGCGGTGAAGAGAATGTGCGGTGTTCCAAAGCGAGGCGATTAGGAAAAAAGACAAGTCCACCATGGAAGCGCGGCGCTGCTGCCTAAATTCGGAACAGGAGCAGGATTAAGAAAAGTGTGAGGTGAAGGAAAAAGAAGATAAAGGTAAGATGAGTCTTTACACTCTTTGCTTTGAATAGTAACACGTATTCATCGTCGGTCCACCGCATCTCTCGTCAAGCTTAGTTTTGATGAACGTTGCCTTTAAATTCCACAGCTATCGCAAATTTCTCACTTTTACCGGGAAAGCGAGCTAGTCATTTTATATTAAAGAACTATAAGATACAGTAGGAATTTTCTGCAGAGAAAGACTTTCGAGCATCCACCCGTCTTTCAATGTGAGAAAAAATCACTAACGCGCAAAACCTTAGCCGATGTTTCTTGTCCTACGCTACGTATGTGCACGGATCAGTCCGTGCCCCCTCCCCCTCCACATCGCTTCTTTCTTTGCAAATTGATAAAGTGAGGCAATTGAAATACATTTACTCCAGTTTCCATTGTCTAATGACTAATGGCTGCGACTCTAAGCTGCCACACCCGAGAATTCCCGACTCCATCCTGCTTAGCCAGATTATAGCCGATTATGGTTTCTGAAGTCAATCGGTGATTTGATGACGAAACTTTTATCTAGAAAAGCTAAGTGGTGTTTTTCTGTGAAGCTAAAAAATAATTAGTAGTTCATCTGTTTAGTGTCAGTGAGGATATTTACGGCAAGCTCCTTAGCGATTGCTAATAGATTGCATCGAGAATTTGTTTCGACGTCTTGACCATTTTTGTTTCTCTACTGTACAGGACAATGTATGGTGTGCTTGCTCAAACCCCTAACTACCACTTCGAAAGGCAGTAATCACGTTGATTGATTGTGCTCTGATAATCAGCACGACCTCAAATTCAAATGAAAGAATAAACGCTGATTTAGACCAAAATGCTACTGCACCTTTAGAGCGTTTTGACAGCTCACGGCAATGCGAGATGCGTTAAAATGTGTCAAAATCTTCCTTAGAGTTTGGGATTTATTATAAGTTACAGCAGTGCAACATGAGAACCGTTTTTTACGAAATATTTGAGCATTATTGTACCTTACCACTTGTAACCACATGACAACTTAATTTCGTACTTACAGAAATAAGATCTGTATTCATCCATATTACTGCTTTGTATAGTGGCAAGCACACAGCCTGTCAGATGTGATATAAAAGATTCTACAAAACGTAAGGCAGCATGCATCGCAGCTTTGCGTATTTCAGGACGCTTATGCTCACGATAAAAGCTTGCTATCTAGCGATAACGAATACTACAGTTTTCGGAGGTGTAGAAGTGCACAATGTGAATTGCTTGAAGACCGCTGGAGCTGTATTGCGTATGCTCTATATGCCGGTGAAGGAGCATTACTACATTTGTTCAAGAATGTGGGAATGAGAAGTAAATGTTTGAGAGCAATTTTGATGAGATTACACAATGCTGTCCTGTGGGCCGCTTACAGACCGGTAACTATTGCAAAAATATTGATAAGTAAGCTTCCACACTCCAATATTATAAGAAAAGCTGACTACGAAACCGCTCACCTAGATATCATTTTTTTATCGGGATATAACGGTCTTATATGCCGCTTATGAACTTGCAGAATTTGCAATTGTAACTACCCTACGAACCCCTATAAACTGATATCAAAAAGTGTCCCACGCCACAGACGATATCTTAAAAAGAATACTGCCCTATGGGCCGCATTGCCCTACGAATCCATACAGACCGATATTTTGAGGAAAAATGACAATAAGAGCAGCCTACAAACCGTTTTTGAAAAAAGACAAGCGTAAGCCGCTCATATACCGACCAACAATCAAATATTTAATGAAGAAACTGCTATTAATCCGTCTTACCCACTGCGGATTGGGTCTGCCCTATAGACAAACAATTGACCTTGAGTTCAAGCTTTTATTGTGTTCTAGGCTTGGAAAAATTGAAAGGGTACAAAAATTTCATGCGCGGGAGTTTTTTTTTGTTGGGTCTTCTCTCCCCCCGCTAAAAACTGTGTGGATCAGGCCATCACTGCAACTTACATACACTGCTTCATAGTTGTATAAATAGCAAACCTTTTCCCACCTCCTTTCAAAAAATACGATTGTATTGTTCCAATATGTTCAAAATACAATTTCCGTTTCTTTCGTGATTTCTGTAACTTGGGAAAATTCTGTGACTCTTTCCTCCACCAATAAATTGTCAGTCAAAATTCAAAATCGATCAGCCACTTAAAATTCGTTTGCGAAGGGGAAAAGGGACGAGCTGAGAGCAAGTCCAAAATCATCAATCATTGTAATTGAAAAAAAACACATCCGACATTACGTTTCGAAATAGCTAAATCATTAGCGCTGACAAAACGGTCGGAATAAAATCCACATTTCAAAATCAATCATAGTCACAATCAATTTGTGAAAGAAGGGGAGAGAGGTGAGGGAGGGGAAGGGGGGGGGAGATAAGGAGCTGTTGGACTTTAAGAAAGCGTCGTTTCTATAAAGCTCATAAAAATGAGAAAAAAATGCGAAATAAATAATAAAATAAGTCTGTAAAAATTGGGTTCGATTACTCCAATAGACACTCTTGTGATAATGGCGTTCCCCAAGTAGACGCACTTTCTCCTTTACTTTTTTTGATATATACAATGGATCTACCTTCACTCTTGAAGACGTCACTTTTTTTTAAAGTACAAATGTATGCTGATGATGTAAAACTTTATGGAATCTATGACTCTTCAAATTATGATGAGATTCGTAATGCTTTGAAGACGTCCCTCGAAAAAATGCTCTGTTGGTCACATGAATGGGATCTTCCCATAAATCTTGACAAATGTGCGGTTATGCATATCGGGGGAAGTGAAGGAGCTAGTTCTGAAATTAACGGAATCACATTAGCAGAATGTAAGCTGATGAAAGATCTGGGAGTAATGATTGAACCATCCCTCAAATTTTCTCAACATATAGATGTCATCATCAAAAAAGCATATAATGTACTATATGCTATTTTCAGATCTATACAT